ATTTATGATTTTAACTTTATACACAAGTGCCAAAATACTATAATGACATTATATATGTATGAAGTTTCATAATAAATTCACGTCATATTACAGCGTTGACAGTGTATTAATACTGATTGCGTCATTGTTTTATTACTCTAAATTCATTTGCTCGTGCCATAAATTTAATCACAATTCATAGCAGACCACACTTCGAATTAACTTTTTCTCATGTATATATAAATAAACATTACCCTGCTGCAAGTATCTGGAAACTTGAAATGTTGAAGAATGCAAAATATATCAAAATACAGAAAGTTTCTCCTTCAGTGAGAGTTTTTAACACAATGATGAAACGAAGAAGTGTCCCCTCTCTGTCATAACAGTACGCCTTGTGATAAAATATGATGATAAAGTAATTAATTTAGATTAGTTTATTTTGTGATTAAATTACAATAAAAATTGTAATTACTTAATGATCACAAATTTTTAAAGTGTGTTAGAATATGTGAGTAAAGTATTTATATAAACAGAACCTTAATAATGTTGCTTATGAACTTTGAACAAGATTAAGAATTCGGAGACCATTTAAATGCCTATGTTTTATTCTTCCCAAACTATAGGAAAATAAGAAATATAATGCCTCATTAGGTAATCCACATTCAAATATTTATGTAATTTAACTATACGTTTTCCAGTAAGTAGTTTATATGATAAGAGTAGTCAAGTGTTTTCTATAGATGGCAGAAGAAAAAGGAAAAGACGAATTACAAGTATATTTATCAAAAAATTCCTATATTTATAAGTTTGATTGTTTTTTTTTAGAGCAAAACCACATTGGACCTTCTGCTGTATTCACCGCGTGCAATCGAACCCCGAATTTTAGCGTTGTAGGATCGTGAACTTAGCTCTGTCCCACCGGTGGATTTATTTCAAACAGTATGCCACGAGTAAATCTGAGTATTGCCTCAGCAAGTCATCAATTGCCGAAATAGTTCAAACTCGATAAGAAACACAGTTTGAATGTATTAGTATAGTATATAATTGATAAAAGAAGGAGTTGCTTCTTGAAAAATATTGGGATAAGAAGAATCACATGACCATGTTATAACAAAACCATTTGATACCGTTGTTTTAAGCTGTTACACTGCACTGTTGTAAATGTGCTCAGGCTAAGTTTTTCTCTGAACAAATTAAAAATGAAGTTCAGTGTGTACATTCCCTGTGGCATATCGGCCGTAGAATGATGAGATTATGAATCCCCTGAAACAGATAATATTGGAGTCACTTCTGTTACAAACGTATACACATACTAAACAATGAGCTACTCTCACTTTTGTTTACAGGCATATACACAGACTATACAAAGTGCTACAGTCACTTTTGTTTACAGGCATATACACAGACTATACAAAGTGCTACAGTCACTTCTGTTACAGACATATACACAGGATATACAAAGTGATACAGTCACTTCTGTTACAGACGTATACACAGACTAAAGAAAGTGCTATAGTTACTTTTGTTACAGACATATACACAGACTAAACAAAGTGCTATAGTTACTTTTGTTACAGACATATACACAGACTAAACAAAGTGCTATAGTTACTTTTGTTACAGATATATACACAGACTAAACAAAGTGCTACACACACATTTGTTTGCAGGCATATACACAGACTATACAAAGTGCTACAGTCACTTTTGTTTACAGGCATATACATAGACTATACAAAGTGCTACAGTCACTTCTGTTACAGACATATACACAGACTATACAAAGTCCTAGAATCACAATATATAAATAACGAAGTAAGAAAGACTTTGACTGGTGGTCCAACTACACCAACTTATTAAGCATTCAATCACACGCATATACACATAGAAATGTAAGATAGCTTCTGGCGGACGTGTAGCATTTATAAAGTTTTACTGTTTTAACTTTATGTTCACAGCAGCTACATTTCGATAATTTATAAATGTAATTGTTTATAACTAGGAATTTCTTCATGATTAATTAACATGTACAAGTCAAAGATTTCTACATACAATTTGCTTTTCGGTCTTAAGTGCAAAAGTAGCTGATGCAAAATACAACGACTTTAAAGGTTATAGTATTTTGGCAATTGTGTATAAAGTTAAAATCATAAATAATATTCAACGTTAAACTGGTACACAATTAAAA